TATTTTATTATCATGGGTTCATCTGAACCCGATAACAGTAAATGGGTTGAAAATTGAGGAAGATATGAAAGTTAAAGGGATCACAATCACTAGTGAGAGATTGTTATCTCATTGTTTAGATCATCACTCCTATCTAAATAGATATCTTCTTTACCAGTCTTCCTAAGTGGCTCTGGACCATCTGTTGAACATCCCGATATCGGTCCAATCGATTAACCGGTCCGATTCCTTAAATCTGATTGCAGTAGTGCTGATAAGCTATCTCCTATGAGGAAGTGGCCAAGCATCAGGGAAGTTCGATTATTGGGATAATCGGATAATGCAGGTAAATATCGGAAATTCAAATAGGATTTGACATGAACTTCAATACCCTGCATACAACGTCGTCACATACTGCTCAATATCTACAAATTAAAATTGTGCTAAACAAAACTGAAAAATATGAATCGTTTACTCCCCTAAATCGAAGCTCTTAACATCCGATTTCTAGTGTATTTTACGTGTCCGGTACGATGTATGGATTAGGAACTTTAGACATGTGAGGATCACGGGAGCGAGCACTCTCGACATATTCGAACCGACGTCGTCGAGTTTCTATCCCGATACATGGTATGACGGCTTTCAAAATAATTGCGGCTTGCAATATGAATGAAGCTTTCCTGCATGTCACGGCAGCTGTGTGACAGTATGTTCAATACTCCGATATACGAGAATCTTTCGTTCCAAAATGAACTATTGGCCCCTAGACTGCATTACTCTACAACGTGTATGCAACAACATAGTTGAGCAGAAACTGTATCACCTATACAGTCTCGGTACATGTTATTAACCAATCCCGAATTCATGAGAATGCTCATTAGCGATGACTTCATTCTCGTTTTTTCTTAGACGTCTTTATTTAAGGAGAACATTGGTATATATATGTGACTAACGTTTTCTAATTACCAATATTTTGAAATTCATTCTATCTAAATAACAGTTTTGTTACCACTTGATATGCATACATTGAGAAAGTTTTGTCGATAATCTCTAGGCGCCTAAATACATGAATGAAGACTGATCGAGTAGTCAACATGGCTATGTCGATGGGAATCGGCTCTCAGAAGTGGTATTACAATTTGTTTCACCTTTAAGACGCAAGTTCAACACTCAAGTCGATAAATCTATCATTTCCCATCACCATCGTCTCTCCAACGTGGAACACTATCGTCTCTCTAACGTGGACCATCGACATGGCCGCGTTTTGACGAGGCCAAGCCGCGAGTGACATGGCCGAGCATTTCCGGAAATGTAGGAAGCCATTTGACGAGATCGAACGGCTGCATGGTGGATATGCAAACAGAATGCAAAATGCCATTTACCACGCGGCACACTTTATTGAATTCCACCTTGAAGCTCGTGAAAGGCACTGAAATATTTAAGAACCGGCTGCCTGGAATGATAATGACTGCGAGCGAACTAATGCGATTTTTCGAGAAAACTTCCGCGTCATTTTAATAACATTTTCATTGTTAAATACCTTGAAATAATCCGCGAGGACGTTTGATCGAAACGAATTAAAAACGATCGCGGTGAAGCTCGAAAGGATACCGAACAAAGTGATAAAGGAAGTCTTCCTCCGGAGATACAATAAAAAGAAATACAGGAAGGGTGAAGCGAAAGTTATACAGACTCATCAGTGGAAATGGCAACAAGGGAAAATTTCCAAAATTTCCAGATGCAAAGATGGGATAAATTATACAAGATATAGAAAATAAGTTGTGCTTGTAGTCAATGACGGTGGAAAAGAAAGCTTACTTTAATGCCACCTTAGGAATAAGCGAACTGGAACATAAAGTGGAATTCATTTCTGACACAATCCATATCTGTTCTCCTGTATAGCAGGATTTACTTGGAAAAGCTTAAGTGCGCGTTATTTTATCCCCATAAATGCATAACTTTGTCAGTGGGCTGATAAAAGGGGTTGCCAGCCCGATGGGAACCGAGCAAAGCGAAACGAAACTTTTCGAGTATAGGCAGAGTCAGAGGAGCTTCCACCACTTTAAACATTTCTCGCTGAGGGGCGACTCAACTTTGTTGTCTCTTCTCTCCTCGCCAAGTCTGGATTGTTCCAAGTGACGTTCCTGTCGACGTTTCTGATAGGAGCCATGATGGCCCCTAGGACGGATTCGTCGGGAAAATTGTCTACTTGGTTCTGAACTGGTAAATTCTCCGTGCTAAATGGGGACTCGCAAGAGTACCGATTTACCGACTTGTTTTGATAAGTTGCAGTTCTCCGCCATAATGGACAACCGGTGCATAATAGCTCGAAACTTTCAAGTGTAATTGTCCAATTGTTGTGGCTCTATGAAACTTGGGAGCGACGAGGGAAACGACGTCGCCGCTCGAGAAGTTTGTAATATGCTAATTTGATATGCCGCGATATACATTGCAAATATTCAATTACGAGCAAGGGTGTCTTTAAAATGATTTAACGATCCTTACGTATTGAATTTCCGACTTTTCTGCGCAATCTGTTTTAACTACCATGTTTAATTTTAGTTTCTTTTACTATAATATAAAATTACAAGGCCCAACAATTTGTACCAGGAGAAAAGATATGAGAAAATGCTTTTCCATTGCTCAGAATGATTCGTCATGAAAGAATGTCAATTGTTCATCTAACAGGAGCAGAATACGTTTTCAATAAGCGTGGTCTCCAGATAAAGCATTAAAAATTGTCAATTATCTGTACGAAGAAAATGTTACGATTATAAATCTGGAGACACTTTTAGAATACTACGGAATCAGGAAAAAGAGTCAAAGCGTATTTAAATTTATTCGATGTCTGCGTTATCAAAGGAACGTGTCTTTATGGCTACAAAATGGCGGTCCCCCTTGATAACGCCTTTCTCTGGTCGGCGTAGGGTCCCCTTCGCAATAAGGGCTGCAGATGCAAAGTTCGGACACCTTGAAATTCGAGCGGAACGGAACCCCTTTTCTTTAAGGCGAGTTTCGCGAAGTACGACGTCGTCGCGATCTCGCGATGAGACGCCGACTTCAATTACGGAGACAAAGGGTTGGTCGGCGCTGTTGTTCTTTGTCGCCCGGCCGTCCGTTTGTCGTCGACGTCTACGGTGTCTACGTTGGCGAAGGATAGGCATTGTCCGCGACAGATTGGGTCTTGCCGGGATTAATGAAACTAAGGCCGGCCCTTTCAAGGATCTGATTGGAAAGCCGTCTTTAATAACTTAATGGCGCATCCTTGCGAGGCCAGTGGCCAAGGGAGCTTCCCGGTAATCGGCTGTCCAGACTTTGGCACGTCGGCCAGATTTTTTACGGGGATGAAAGAGTCTCGGTATAGTAAGTCCAAAGATGGCAGGAATTTTGGGGATGCGAAGAGGTAGAGCAATAAATAGTCCTGGGCCGTCGCCGCACGTAGGACACTTAAAACAAAAGAGGCCCCTTTAAGGGAGTGAACAGAGGCGTACAACTTTAGGCTTTTTCCAAAACAGTCGGATGTAGAAGCGCGAAGTGTGGCAGAAATACTCTTAGTTGAAATCTGTTAGACTCACGTAAAGCGACATTTCGATTTTCTCTTTTTGAAAAGATGGAAGCGGAGGTGGTAGATGGTCTAATTACCAGCGCGAAGCACAGGGAGCCGGCTAGGATAAACTATAAAATTCTGTTAATCAAAACCTTCGTCAGCATCTAGCAGAGGCCCTTCCTTCGTTAAACCGCACATGCCGAACCCCGAAATCTCTTCCACGGATCCTTACCCCCGAGCTCCCCTAGGAAAAGTTTCCGCCGAGCAAAAAGGCAGCGCAACGGCGTACTAATCCTCGCAGGAGGGAAATTAAGCAGGGAAAGTAGAAGTTAAACCGAAAGTTAAAGTGGCGACCGCATCGGGTAGATTCGGCGCCGGGTCCGAGGTAGCGAGCACTTCTTGCCGTTAAAACTCGGGTTCGCGGAGAACCGGAGTCCTGTCGGGCACCGACGCCATCTTTTACACCCCCGAAACTCTTTTACTACCCTGGTTTTACACCGGTCCCGAAAACGGAGCACGTAGGGGCCGAGGGGTGGCCCTCGCGCGGTGCGGAGTTCCCGAAGTACCGGGAAACGGGAAGTTTTGCTCGGGCTAGTAGTACACGGTGCACTTAGACCAGCCGGAATACTCTCGGCCCGGTGGCGTCTGCGGTCTGCTCGAAACCCCAAATTACGGACCTAATGGAACCCCGGACGGACACGTTGCCCCGGCTAGAAAGGAAGACGTGTACACGCCCAGGGAACGAGACCGAGGATCTCCGAATCTCCCGGACTCGGCCCGGAGATTCTCCAAGACCGGCCACGGTCTGAAATTCTATCGAAATGGGTTCCGAATGAGAGAGCGGACAGGAATTCTCCGGAGTGCTACCGCCGGAAGGGTTGGGAATGACAACCAGGTGAACGCGCCGCTAAAATTTACCGCCGAGCTGGAGAATTGCCCTGGGGATGGGGGGTTTTCGAAAGGGCATTTTGAGAGGGAACGTTTTCAGGGGGATTTCCTTCCTTTTTGGGAGAATTGTGACAGTGGAATTGGTTTAAACTTCATTCCTGGCTGTTTGAAAGGGCTCTCCCAAGAGACACGCGGTGGGAGGGGAGACCGGGGCAGCTTGTCCTACGGGATAAATTGACCAATGTTTAATCAATTTCGTTTGTTTCATTTTAGATGAATATATCCTCAAGGAAGGATTATATTATTTACTGGCCATTAATAATGGGAAATTCTCTTCTTCCGTTGCGAATAGATTTTTGGAATTTTAAATATATTTCTTTCGAAAACGTAGAAGAGTGTGTCAACGATAATTTATCATCTTCATCGAAAAATATTGAAGGAACAGTTTTTAGTACAAGGTCTGTAAAAGTATTCTTTTACCTACGTGAATTACGTACTGGTCATGTAGTTTCGTTCATCTTCCAGTTTCATTACGCTTATTGGATGCATTTATTATATGTGGACAGTATTAATTATCTGATCATCTCTATTGCAAGACTATAGTTCTTAGTGCATCTTCTGGATGCACCTCGAAAATTGCAGTGGTACCGTCGTTAAAGGGAACGGATATGCTACTGTCCAGAATAACGCCGGCATCGGATCCAAAAGATTTTACTCTGAGTTTACGACACATATTTCGTTCAAGACATTCCTTTGGCTTTGGCCAGGAATCACCTCGATACATCTCTCGAATCACGTACGACATTAATCGAGAATCTGGAATACAAATTCTTTTTCAACTGTAGTTAATCCAAAGAAGCGTAAAAAAAGGTAAAAGTGCAGAAACAATCTGTCTCCACCCTTCGACATGTGCGTCATTTCAATACGTATATCTAACATGCTACATTGTTCTTGCAAAATAATTCATCATTTTTCTGTAAAATCTCCATTATACACGAAATACATAGTTAAGCACGTAAAAATATGTTAATTTCGTTATCCTTAATTGACGGAAATAAACGTTATCATTGTCTTACCTGGAGCAAACGTCAAGAAACGGCGATACTTGTCCAGCAGCTCGTCAGTTTCCTCATCTTCCAGATTTCTTCCCGTTCCCAATTTGACGACCATCTGAACAGCTTCCCTTCCCTGAAGGTTTATGGCACGAAACCAGGCCTTGGAACCCGATCCGGTGCACAAACATATGCCAGAAGACCGAACGCGATACTCTTGACCGCCGTCCGCCTGGATAGTTAGAGCGATCGTTCTGGCTTCGAGAAATTCTCCCATCTGTACCTAAAACACCGTACAAAAAGGACCGCCTTTGTATCCCTTTTCCTTGATTCATTAAAACATTCCTTCGCGTGTAAACTTTTCATAAACCTCATTTAGCGTCAGCCAAGGGAGCTTCCTGCACCGTCTTCTATTCTGATAAGCAGTTGTGTCTTGGTCGGCGAACTTTAACAAATCGCTGAAAAAAAAAATGAAATTTCGTTCATTTTACTTAAAGTTTTTCGAGAGACTTTCTGTTTTAAACGTCGAGACTATGACATTTGAAATTCTTACTCGATTTTTTCTTCCTTCCTCTCTCTCTTCTCGTGGAGGAAAAAGGGTCCTCTGTAGAGTCCTTCACCTATCATCGTGGTACGAATTCGGCTTCTCATGAGGATAGTGAATTCTCCAACCCACAATTTATGAAACACTTCCTCGACATCGTAGATGCTTTTTATCTGGTGTGTCAGAATGTTTTCTCGGGTGTATCTCGGGTTCAGACCTATTATGGGAGTGACACTGTTCCTGATGATTTTTGAAGCCAAGAGGAAAGTTCCGTCACCTCCTATCGGCATCACTAGGTCAGCCCATTTTGTACACTTGCAGGCAACCGTGAACCTAAATTGTACACAATGTTTAAAAAAATCGTTCACCCTCAAAATCATAAAAAAATATACATCTCATTGGGAATGCTTAATGAATTAAAAGATTTGCGGAAATCGTATCGTACATTTAATGTGCTCCATTTCTGGTGCTCCCTTATCGGTATTGCAACTTCTCTTTTTGTTTTATTTTCAAAATACTTATTTACTGTCTACCTTCTAGGAAATGAAGATTGAACGTTACTTCTTGATCAATCGCAAATGGATGTCCAATTTCTTCAAGACCTGTGCTACCTGATCTTCAAACGCAATCTGGTCCTCGTGCTTTTCCAGGACTTCGTCAGGATTGCGGCCATGTTCTCTGAATTTATCGAGAATTCGTTCCTCGTTCAATTTCGGAAACCTGGTACGTGCAAGTTCCAAGGGTGTCGGCCTTGCAAATAGCAGAACCCTCCTAGGATGAAAGAACGTGTACCAACGACGTTCACGAGGCATCTTGACATTCCAAAATATGATCTTAAAAGTAAAAAACATAATTTCATAACAATTTCTAACGTAGAAAGTACGATTTTCGAGGTTAAACCGATACATATTGCCGCTACCCAAAGATATCGGAAACTATTATCGACTGTTTCAACGAACACGTGCTCCAACTTCATTTCATAAAATCTGCGAAGACACAAAGCATCTGAATGTATCTCTAAACCTAAAGATCACAGCTAATTTCCATTCTAATTTGAAATAATGCAAAAAACATACTACAATCTTCGGTAAATTCGGCAAGTTTTAATTATTATCTCAAGAAATATCCGATCAGAAAACAGTACTTTCTAATATTTAAGATACTGAATTTGTTCTACAAAGTAGTTCAAGTTTTTAAAACCGAAGTGCAATAAATCAACGCAGGGAAGTCAATTTTTCATATTGCTGGTCATCTTCGGGATGACGGACCGACAATCTTTTACAGCCCCTGTTTATATGATTTATTGTCAGAGTTTATGGCACAGGATTAGAGAGAATCGATGGAGTATGTGTGAAACAGTTCAGGGCAAACAGGGTTGAAAGGCTTTGCAGGAATTTTCCGTCCTCGAGGACTCTCAGCAGCACCCTCCGCAGCTCGAGTGACCACCTCCGCAACACTCTGCTCCATTTCGTCTCCTGTAGTTCCTTGGGAAACAGCATCTGCCACCTCCAGGTCCAGCGCAGCTGTATATCCTACCGCAGGACTGGCCACCACACCCACCGCATGGATGATAGTCACTGCAGGACTGACACTTGCACCTGCAGTAAGGATCTGTTATTCCGTGCGAAGGATATTCCGTTTAATACCCGTATTTAGTTATTTCGAAAATAAATGTAGTTCTCACTCACACCAAAATAAAGAAGATTGGAACACTTAATGATAGACTTTAATCCGCTTCATCCGATGAATATTTAAATACAACAGAAATAAAAATAAAAATTTATGTACTGGGTGTTTAGTTAAGATTCTTATTTTTTAATTCGAATAACCTTTTATCTTTTAACCCATTTTGATAAAGTTTTAACTATAGCATATTAATGTCATAAGGGTTTTCCTGACATCATTTCTGACATTATAATATCGCATCATCTTTGAGTGATACGTCAATCATGATCAGAATTCCAAGAATTTAGAAATGTGGGTGACGCAAAGGATACGATCTGTCATTTCATATACATTGGTGGACATAAATGCCTTCCTTATATCTGTTCTGCTCCCAGTGCATGACAGGAAGGCACTCATGTCAGCCAAGGTATTGTAATTACATCCTTTTGGCATAAGACGTCAATGAAGGAACTAACTTGCAGGGCAGTCCTTTACTCTGTCCCGGGGAGCAGCATCCGCCCTGAATTCCGCCTCCTCCAGGATTATCAGAGCAAGCTGGACCTCCACACCCCCCGCAAGGACAACAGCCCTTAGAAACGGGACAACAGTCTTTTTCGCCGCAAGAATCATGACATTTCGGTGCCTCAGGGCAACAGGGAGGTTGAGGTGGACAGGGTGGTGGTGAACAGGGTGGTGGTGGACAGGGTGGTGGTGAACAGGACGGTGGTGGACAGGATGGTGGTGGACAGGATGGTGGTGAACAAGGTGGAGGTGATGAACGGTAAGGAGTTGATCGTGGGGGACAAGGATTTGCTGAACATGGCGGCGGTGAACAGCGAGAAGGTGGTCTTGGGGGACAAGGTTTTGGTGGACAGTAGGGATATGGCGGTGGAGGTGTTCCACATCCTCCACAACCACCTCGAATTCGGGATTCGGAATTAGTAGACGGTAAAAATGGCGAAAAACGTTCACCACATCCTTCGCAACCTTGATGTCGGGACTGAGAGTTAATAAGAGATGTTTTAATATCCTCGTTACGCCCGTTGCATTCACTTCCTAGGAGCATGGATATCTGGTTAACAGATTGTGGCTGGAACATCTCTTGTCTACTATGATCGGGATACAAATTAGGTTTCTCTAAATCGTGGAACATTCCACACCCTTTGCGTCCTCCCTGAAATCGTTCTATGGAATCGTCATTTGAAAATCCGTGGATGATGTTCCTTCCTGTGTCGTATCCTCCTCGATGACGCTTTAGGATACCTTTAAGGCCGATCTCTCTATCTGATTTGATTTCTGTATTGATTGGGTTTTGGAGGCTGGATGAGATACCAGGATAATGTGTGAAGCTTGGTGAAATGGCTTCACCTCCACCTCTTAGTCGGTTCTCCCCTTGGATGAAACTAAAGGAAATCCTAGAAATTCGCTTCGGAGATATTCTTGCATTCATCGTTGATCGGACTTCAACGTAACCTTGCTTCTTCAGAGAGTTTGTGCGCAGATGAAGAGGATACATGGAGTTTATGTCAAAACCCATAGGTAGTTCTACAGCTTCACCACCACCACAAAATTGTCTCTCTTTGTTCCACATCACACACTGAAGGAAACGATGGTTCAACATTTCTGAGATTCCTGGAACAATGACCGCATCATTATTCTTAATTGGAGTTTAATGGTGAGAGTACCATTGCCTAAATTTGCGATACAATAATTACAAGAATACCGATAGCTTTAGACAAATACTATCGTCCCCGGCTCTCATATTTATTAACATCAAATGATAAATATAGCACTTAATTCAATAATCTATTTAAATGAACTCACTTCTTGCGTTCCGTTCCTTGGTACCACTTCCCAATAGTCTGCTGCCTATGTATACAATTTCAAAACCGTTTCTTGTTTTATAGTGTCACACTATAAGGGTGTAAGGAGTGAAAATAGTCAAAATATTAATGAATCGAGGTTCTGGCCGATTCGTTGAATTAAGAAGTACGACGATGAACCAATTACCTCTTCCACAACAGCATTGTCCTCGACATCTTCCTTCAAAGCCAGATCCTGGCCCTTGGCCCACAAGTCCTCCACAGCAATTCGTACATCTTCCGCGTCTTCTTCTATAAGTCGATAACGTCTGTACTGCTTCCGGCTTCATTTCAGGAGGTTTAAACGTATCTGAATTATCTATAAAAAATAAAGGACACGGGAAAAATGACTGGAACAGGTTTTTAGGTGATTACTTCTCCAGAGTCGGTTGTAGAGGACAATCAGGCATATTGCAGAAGATGATGACTTTACCATCTCTCATCGGAGGTTGTTCTACATGTGTCGGATGAGTTGGGGCACTTTCCTGGCTGCAATTACAATATCATGACGATTTAAAAGTTGCAATTTTATAAGGATACTGCCATCGTAAATTAACATGGAATTATATCAATTAAATACATTTAAAGAAAAGAGTAAAAGTTAGAAATGAAACTGCATTACGTGTTATTATTTTGAATTTTAGTTCATGTAATAATCGTGTTAAGCATATTATTGGTTAATTCTCTTACACTGGCATGTACGAAATATCTATTTTTGCGTATCCTGCATTCTTCGTTTGCCTGAAAAGCATGAAAGTTATTCCTGTCTTTTATATAATATGTGTGTAGTACGTTAAATGTTTGAAATAATTCTGATTATAACATCTCACATTTTGTTTTGTTCTTTTCCTTCGAGTATTGGCTGGTCTTTTCTAAAATGAAACATATTAAATTGCTTATAACATTTTTCAGCTAGTACTTGATTATTTGATTTACCTTATTTCAACCGGATTTTCCTTATAAACTTGTTGCTTTCTGTGATCGAAAATTACATTTACAATACGTTCAAAAATCAATTTGTAACTTCATGGTCTCTTTAAGACTTTGAAAAAAACACACCCCTCGCTTTGCTTTCCTGCAAGTTCTTTCCACGCTGTTTGACGCTGTACGCTAAAATAAGTAAACCATATATTTATTAAAAGAACAGTTCCATTAGTCAATTATATTAATTAAATAATTATTTTGATTACGGACGAATATATTCAATGGAATCGATTTTATTATTTGGGTTGCTTACTTCCTTGTTCTAAGTTCACGTTTCAACCTTTCCTTTAACTGTTTCACCGTTCTGAGCAGAGAAAGAATTAATTTCTGGTTCGTTTACAAAAAGAGACATTTAAAGCACACTTTATTGTGACACGTAACTAAAGTATACATACAATTGGGGTTTCTTAGGCGGTGTTTCTTTTTCCATTGACGTTTGATACTTTTCGCCTCCGATAAATTTCGATTATTGGTAGTTTATGAATTATATCGAAATTTAGTAAATTCCATGACTTTCCTTAAAATTTTGAAATATTTAATTTTGTAGCCGAAACTAGGTGAATAAATGACAGGTCTGAAGTGAAGCATTTAAATAGACAAATGAAGTACAAATAAAAAGAAATTTTCGATTAAGTGCAGTTCATTCATATACACTCTGTCCAAAATTTAAAGTAATTGAATTATCTTTGCAGTATATTAAAACAATATTTACTTACAATATACAAGAATGACAAAGTCAAGGATCAATGTCATTTTAGAACGATAAAATTGTATTGTTTATATTTTTTCATACTAATATTGCAGATATAATTTTTAAACACTTAGTGATTTTTCACTCCATCACCATACACTTTTAGTAATATTGATAATAATCAAAGGACATTAGATATTTCTTGCAATGCATACAAAAAGATGTTTATCAAAATTGTTTAGTTTGAGTTAATTATAAAATTCATTTTAAATGAGATCACATTATTCCTGTAAAGGTATTGTTATTGCTTCAAGAATGCTGATTCGTTCAAGCGCCGCAGCCATGGCCACATTTACAAGATTTCTTTTCATATGAAATTGCAAGACGTTTCCTCTCAGATGGTTCGGCTTTGAAGTACCCCAAATTGCATTTACTCGAGTTTCTAAAGCAATTCTTCTTCGTAGTTTCCAAAGATCTCGTCATCATCCTACGATTTTGTGATTCCGAAAACATGGATTCGTCTATGATTTGAGTGTCACAGTTGACGGTTCTCTTTTTTGTTCGATCATTACTTGCATTAGAAACGCATGTTTTCTGAGTTTCTTTAGTAAACGAATTTTTCCCGACACATAGGCTCTTCTGATTCAGATCGATTCCAAATTTTCTGTGGGAAGTTCTTATAACTTCCTGCAGCTTCGAAAGCTCGATCATGCATTTTTCAAAAATCGAGTCCTCGGATACCTTTTCGTCAACTTTTTGCGTGCACACACTAACCTCAGCCCGTGACGTCACCTGGGTACCAGCTGATTTTGACATTTGGTGATATTTGGACGTCCCCTCTGCACTCGATCTCCCCTTATCTCTCGAAACGGACGTCGAAATTTGGCAATATTTTTCAACCCCATTCGAAGCATTTTTCGAGTTTCTTTTTAAACCCAAAGACTCTAAAATGGAGATAATCGACTTATTGAAACCGTGATAATCGAGGCTCTCAATTTGCGCCGATCGCGCTTCCTTTATTGGACAATTAATAGGGCTACACTCCACATCCTTCTTCGCAGGACCACTGTCCTTTTGAGGGTTCTTCTCTCTCCCTCCATCTGAAACGTCACGTCGTTTACAAGAATTAATACTTTTCGACTTATCAGACGCATCTCTTAAGATGAGCTCCTTGCAGATATCCTCGCACTGTTTGAACCGACTAGGAACGTCGGTGCTCGTGTCCTTTAAGGACTCCGCGATCCAGGATCCTGTTGCAGCCTCCGATCTTTTCTGGCAAGTTGATCCCGCTCTGCTGGTCTCACAGCCGATGGACTTAGATTTGCCAAACGAACCCGGAGGTTGCGCAAAACATCCCGGAAATGAAGGATACTCCTCCCTTCTATTGAAATAAGGATCGCACCCAGTGCTCTTCGTGGTATTGTGCGAGTCCTTCCTGAAGACGTCATCAGAATTTCTCGTTTCCTTGTCTTTTTTATATGACTTTTGGGGGGTTGCACGTCTTCTGCAGGAGCCTATTTCTTTGGACACCGGAAAAGCATCCGTCCTGCAGGACTCGTCATCGCGGCCTTTGGAATACTCAAAGTGTCTGATGACTTTGGAGCTCTCATTTTGCAGAGGATCTATGATGAACGATCCTGTCGCAGCATCCAATCTACTTCTGCAGATTGACACTTCCTTGTCCACCCTAGAGCACACCGATTTATTCGAAGGTCTTTGTCTGACATCAGACCTTGAAGTGGTACTTTCGATGAAAGAAGGTTGCTTCTGCATCCCATTAACAAATGTTGCTTCAGCTTCAATGGGTTCATCATCGTTTTCGCCATTGGACTCACTCCTTTTTCCTTCCGTAACTTCCTCAACAAGTGACGTCCCTAATTTTTCAGGGGTATCATTTTTCGCTTCCAGGTTGGCTAAAGTCGCCGTATATTTTTCAGACCACTCTACTTCGGGAACGGACGTCGGCTTATCGGAGTCCGTGCCCTGAGTAATCTTCATGCATTCGTCTTCATATTGTACTTCTGTATCTTGAATACAGACGGTAGATGCTTGATCTTCGCTGTATTCCCCCTCTTGGACCGGTCGACATCCAGGCGTCTTGACATCTTCGATCTCGTGAGATTCCAAGCCACCAAATTCCGAAATCACCGTTTCTTCGTCATTCAAGTAATGATCGTCAATGGTCGAAGTGCTCATTCCGCGATAACCGCTGACATCTGGACTTATGTTCGGAGATTCGTCCACGGATCTTTTTGGATCACTTTCAACTTCGTTTTCGCCATCATCTTCAACGCCCTCAGGGTGTTGACTTGGAAAGATCAAACTCATCGATTTATAAGCTGCGCGTTCGCGATTCTTGGGTTTAGTGAGTTCTTTCTCAATCGACACTTTCGGTGGCAAAATACACGGAGCCACCATTCCCGTGCACTCCTTTTGTCTGATAAAAGATAGAACTTCATCCAACATGCTTCTTCTGACGATCTGTCCACTACTCCTTCTCCAATTTCGACGTGAAGGTGCGTCTTCGCTTCCTCTTCTTGACTGGTTAAGATGTGTCCTCGACTCTCTTTCTTCGTCTGAAATTTTTCTGCTTCTTTTTTTCTCCCTCTTGTACGTCGATTCATCGGTTGATAATCCTGTCATGCTGCTACGCGGTGTAAAGGGATCTACCTCATCTAATGTGCTTTTTCTGCTGCTATCAGTAGTATTCCTGAGCGAAAACTTGCTCTCCTTCAGCTTCATTCTACTTCGCGAAGCAAAGGCAATGACTTCCTCGAGCATACTCTTCTTCGGTGTGTTATCACCTTCCTTCGGAACTCGTTGATCCGTCATTTGCGTTTCCGTTTTATCCACCCCGTTCACCTCTTCCTCTCCTCTCAAATGTTTTTTAGACGTAGACTTAGACGCTTTTTTCCTTACGGCACCCCTTCTCTCATCTTCATCCTCTTTCCACCTTTCTTTCGATTTTCTCCTCTCGTTGTCAACGTTTCTACTCATCCTACTTCCACCTGATCGTTTCCACAAGTGCCTCCTCTCTTCCGTTTCCTGATGTTTATGTCGAGGACGATGTCCGGTTTTGTCCAATCCACTTTCATTCGACTGTTCATGATTTGATGATTTCCTAAACGAAACTTCCCTGGGGGATAATCTTTTGGATCTTTGTCCATTTTCTTTATCGCTTTCTTTTGTGCCTTTCTCTCTTCGACTTATTTTTGATCTGGATGATCTGCTGTCATTTCTGTCACTTTCATCTTCTTCGCTGTTTCCTCTACCTACTTTCGTACGAGACACTGCAAAAGAGACGACTTTTTCTAGCATACTTTTGTTGGTTGTTTTCGTGCTCGGAGATTGCGGATGGGATTCATCAACTTCGTCTTTTCGTCTTTTTTGCTTCTCTTGATGTCGCTGTTGCTTTCTCCACGACTCCCATGTTTCTCCATCTTCGGAACTGGATTGAGATGCCGTATCAAATTCCTTTATCGTCTTGTAATCGCTATTCGGCTCGTGATGCGTTTTATGGGTCGGACGAGTGTCTTTTCCTCCCAGCTTGTGACAATCCATGTTCGAGGTTTCGGAGTAACATTGTGAAATGTTAGGAGTTTCCTGTTTCGTCTTTGATTCCGATTCTTGGGGAGAAAGGTGCTTTTTTTCTGACATCTCCGAAGATGGTGCTTCCGTTCCTTCGGTGCTTCTACTTTGATTTCCAAGTCCTTGCGCAAATAACGAAAATAAGAATATAATTTCGCAGGATTACACGTAAAAAGATATATTTGTCCAAACTAACAATGAATATAACTTCAAATGGAATGTTTTACGTGGCAATTATGAGGAAATTAAATAGAAAATATTTGTAGACAATGATTACTTTAAGTGATGCTTGAGCTTGCGGCGTTCTTCCTCAATGCTAATTTCATCTCCATGATGCATTGTCTATTGACTACTTTTTGATAGGGAGAAAACTCTGATACTTATAATTTATAGGCTCAATTTTCCATAGTTCCCAATACATCATAAATTTCGCCATCAGTAAAGAATAGTAAGACATCACTTTTGTCGAAAATTAGCCATGTATAGTATCGTTGAATCATAGTACAAATTTGGATTAATAATGTACTAGTTTTTTTTTTTATTTTAGGTTATCGCATTTGCACGTGACATTTTGATAGAAGTTTTTGGCAGGTTACCTGAAAAATATTTTCTGATTCGTGATTTGAATTGAGTAGACTCAGGAAAACATGACATTTGGCAAGTTTCAGAGTGTATCTAGTATTTGTAAAAAGTATGCACACTTGTTTTACATAAACGTATACACCCACACATACATAATACTTTTATGCATATTTATATGTTAATATATATGCACACAAATAAATAATTCTATTTTCACTTATTCATCCTCATTTTTCACAGCCAATGATATGGCTACTGTACATAGATAACGTATATTCTTTTGTAGATCGAATCTGTAATGAATTTACATTCGTTGTCAATTGATACCGATTAAATTGATTTCAGCTCCTTTCTCACCAGAACCTGAACAACCTTTCATTTTCCTTGTATAAATATGGCATGTATGACCGTACGAAACTACTTCTTGGCTTCATTTTCGCATTTCTCCTGGCATACCCACTGCGCGCAGACGAAACAAAAACTAGCGGCTTAATACGAAAACTTCGAACAACTTAAGAGAGAAAAGCAGAATTTATAATGTAATAAACATTTAACTACCACGAAGTTAGTCGAATTACCTTATCCGACTGCTGAAATCACTTGCCAGCGAGCCCGTTTCCTTTTAATGAGCACTTTAAATTCACGTCACGGAACTTCAAAAAGTCTCTTTCTGAAGCAAGGTCCTCCGCAAGGATGCGGTCCCCCCTTGAAAGAGTTTCACCCCTTCTGTAATTTATGCACAAGACTTTTGCGATTTTTTCGAACTTCCTCTCACCATTATCAGAAAGTGGAGATTCTTATGTTTTGTCAATTTCGCGAAGATAGTAGGTATGTTAGCGAATTTCACCTGGGTGAGAATTTTGCATTTCGCAGAAGTTTGCAAGACATGATTAAACGACAGCAAATTAATAGGACATTTATTTGTAAAACATTGTATATACTTCTCATTTTATAAGTGGACCATCTGAATCTATGCCTAGACTCCTATCTAAGAAAATTTCAGACATTTTATTAAAAACTCTTTTATGGAAATTTAGATCTCCATCTGAGAAATACAATTCTTTATCCTGCAATTGAGTTTATATAACATTTATTGGATAATGAAAGGTAACCAGTAAATTTCGCTTTATGTCCCATTAACGGTTCTTGGAGCTTATGTATTGTGCTAAGAACTAATCAAAATCAATCATTTTTTATACAGGAAGATGCTTGATGGATTACAGTTTTCGTCTTGAATCTGGATACTTCAATTCTTTTCGGCTCATTCATCTGCTTTTTCTTGTCTCGTACATTGTAAGCGCATGTAAAGTTGTCCTGCTAATGAGCTAGAATTACAATGCACCATAATTTTCAGCAGTATATATCGCAAATTGATATCTACACTATGGTTTCTGACGGATATTATTACATCATTGGGGCTCTGATGAGACTGCATTCAAATAAACTTCATTGCATAGCCTTGCTGCAGGTTCCTTCACACAAATTCGGCTTCTCCCCTAAAAGAAATTCGTCCTTTGATAATTTATTCGAGCGTTAAACCGCAGCAACGAGTCTCCATCTTCATTACTACCCTATCAATTGATAGTAAATTCAGCGTAACCGATTTATTTCTAATACTTTTACGACAAAGGACTCTTACGCGTAGGCTCCGCAAGGACTCGATCGATGCCGTCGTCCTTATGCGAGGAGGAACTCGATGGATTTCTGACAAGGGGAGGCTGGTCCTTTCGCGTCCACACCTCCGATTCCTTGGGAGACGGCGAGTATCCTAATCCTGGCAAAGGATCTCTACTTTGCTCCGCCGAAGGATCTCCACTTTGCTCCGGAGAGGGATTCGAAGGATCCTCTTCCTGAGCTTCCATCTCGGATCTGGATGTTTGAACTTCCACGGGCACATTCATCCCGGCGTCCTTATCCTCGTACGTCGACGGGGTGGCTGATCCTTTAAAGGAGCCTGCATCCCATTCGGCCGAATAATCGATTCTCAGGGACTCGATACACGTGATGGATGTCTGCGTGTTTGTGTCCACGCAGGACAGAGTGTTCCTCTTATTCAAGAAAGCTGGTGGGCAAACTTTGCAAGTTTGCGAGTCTCCCGAAGTCTGCACCTCCAGGTCTGCTCCCGACGTTTCGATTTCTTCCGTTGCTAGCGACTTTATTAACATTCCACCGTCTAGAGAAAAACTGGCCGACGAACAAAGACTGCTTGCAGAGAAATTTCCAGGTGTCGTCTGCAATTCGCTATCGACATTTCGTCCATCATTCCCTGGATTCGACCTTTTCTGCTCCTTAGGAATCTGCGATTCATTGAAGTTGAGTCTTGCAGCTACAACTTCGTGGTTCGTTCTCCCCGGTGATAACGAATGTCCTGAACGATCAGTTGCTGATATGGAATCTTCCGTCTCTGATTTTTGGTATTCTTCAGAAAATTCGGAAAGCTTAGGAGAATTATCTGCGCTTATCAAGTGATATCGATATCGGGGTACGTGTCTGGTAGGATCAACATTTCCCGAAGTTAATGTAGTTTCCGATCCTGAAATTCTATTGTCATTTAGATCTGATTTATTAGCGCTTGATTCCGATCCCTGGTGACAATCGGATCGTTTGCTACTTGTGTCATCATTTTGACTCGAATCTTCTGCATTGAGATTCTTGAGACCTACATTCGATAATTGGCTCGATGATCCCGTTTTCGAGGTACTCACACTTCTTACTGGCGAAACTTCGTCCTCTGCAAATTTCTTACCAGAAATTTTCGTGCTTTCACTTAGAGCTGCATAAATGCAACTTTCCTGACCGTTTGCACTCCTCGATGCAGAAGTGCACTCGGAAGTTCGAGAGTTCCGAGTGTCATGTTGTTCTGAATTGTTATCTTTCCTGTTCTCCCGATTATCTTCATCGACCAGTCCATCGGTTGAAAGAATCCACGTTCTCTCTTCTATGCTGGATTCTTCGTTGCTTAATAAAGTTCCCGATGAACCCGTTAATTGCGATACATACGAGGTGTTAGATTCCCACGACTCTATACTGCCGATGGATTGTAAACTGTCTTTTGTCTTTCGATTGTGAACATTCAATGGTGGTTTATTTGCTCGCTTATCGTTAGTATCCGATAAATCCGTGTCAGAATTCCTTGCCTTGCTTGATTCCTTTGTATTTCTTTTTGATATTAAATTGCGCCTTTCCTTCCACATTGTGCACTGCATTCCTTTGTCGGATTTGCTGACATAAACCTCTGGCACTGGAATTTCGCATTGCACTTCCCTTGATATTAGCAAAATTATTTTACTCGGTGGCTCTTCGACGACCGATTGACTTCTACGACACCGACTTACTTTACGTCGGGAATTTCTAATCGATTCTGCAGTTCTTTTTGAGTATTCTCGACGACGATCGTCGCTTCCACCTCTGAAACGGAAATCTATATTTTCCAGATTTTCCATCAATACAGCAAAATTTCCTGCTCGGTACAAATCAGTATCAGTATCTATACAACAGTGCATTGCTCTTTTGTTGTGCGATTCGGTTCCACTTTGAAAGATATTCTTGTTTAATAAATGCCGATTTTTTGTAGCATCTGAAAAAATTCAATCAAAAAGTTCAGCGAAAATTCCATTAGTCTATGGATTGGAAAATATTTTCAAAACTTCGATTATTATTTATATTCTCTAAGAAATAATAAACTTAAGAAGTGAAGTGCATAAAAGATATAATCAATGTGGAAAATATGAAATTTCACTTCGTAGCCAGTTGAATTCTGGCACATGATATGATATATCGGTACAACACAAGATTTCATCTGAACAATTTTTATATTTTCAAAATGTGATTTCAACGTCCGGAATAATTTGTATTCATCTCTGCGAGAATGATCTCGTCTTTAATTCATTATCTCGTTATTCATTTCCTGTCTCATTGACCACTGAATTCGACTTACGTACTTCGGTTATTGCAGTTTCCATTTCATAGTGATGTACCTTGATACTGCTCAAAGAATTGCTGCTCTCTCAGTGCCCCAACTGTCGTATTACCGGTTAATGGACAACAGGAACTCCGACATAGTTGAGTCTTCGAATTCTTCTTCTCAAGGTTGTTTACTTGACAGTTCTCTGCAGGAAGTTCCTGTTGTACAGATCGACAAAAGGATTGCGAAGTTTCGGTAGGACAATTTCTTGGTGACTGCTGTTGTGCCCGACAACAAGATGCCGGTGTTTCCTCCGATCTACAGCAGCCTGATTTCTGCGGTTGTTCAGCAAAACAACATTGCGAAGGTGTTTCTTCTTCCTGGCAATTCGGTTGTTGTTCAGCACCACCGTACCACATCGATGGCTCTTCTAAATCAAGTTGTCGCTGGTGAATCGTTGAACGCTGAGCGGATGTTCGGTCCTTTCCGCAGCAACGCACAGTTTGCTGTATAGTCTGATCTTCAACCTTTGGATACGATGGAGGTGCATCTTCCGATCGACAGTGACCTACAGGTCGCTGCTGAACAGTAAAACATCGCAAACCAGGTTCCTGAGTTTGACAACAACGCGGCATGGGTTGCTGCTGCGCAACGCGGCATCGCATCAGCGATGGATCCTCCAAATGATCATAATTCTTTGATTGCTTCTGCATTGCTGGGTACCGTGACGATGTTTGTTCCGTATTCCAACATGAATTTGGTTGTTGTTGTTCTCCAGCAACTCTACACGACAGCGACGGTTCCTCTGGTTGACAGCAACGAATGGCTCCTTCACCGGTAACTCGACTTTGCGACGGTGAGATCTGATAGCCGTACATCCTCTGCTGATTTTCAGGACCCGAACATCCCTGTGGCTGGTGACAACAGACTTTTGACTGCCCGGTGACAACCCCTTGCCTCGATATTTCCTGTTGCCAGCAACACATTCTTGCCTGGTTTTCTGCAATTCGATTTCTCGATGAAGTTCGTTCTGTTTGATAACAACCCATTCTCGACTGATCATCTATAACGCGACAACGGGACGATGTTTGCCCAGCTTCCCAGCAACACATCGGCTGTTGTCCTCCAAGAAATGGGTAATAAGCGCTTTCTTCGGCATGACAACAACGCGTTGGCGGGTGTTCTCCAACAACTCGACATCGTGATGTTGCATTTCCTCTCCGACTGCGATGCATCTTTGATTCCTCCGTGAATGGGCATTGTGATTGCGATACCGTGTTCTTGTCTCTTCGGAAACCAAATTTGGACTTCTCGTCCCCAGTTTTTGCGCATCTTTTTCTGCTTCTGACGGTTCGCCTTCCGCGAGTTCTTCTTCTGCCTCTTTCCTTCGTTTCTTGGCAGTCCAAGCATAGTCTCTCGCTTCGTAAACATTGCCTACTGTCACGATATATTAAGGATTGATCTTTGTCCGTTGTCCAGGACTTCCGGAAGGGTCTGCTGCGCTTTATCGCCTGACCTACCATCCCGGCTAATTCCATGAAACGACTTATACTCTGCTTCCCATTTAACCAGTCGAACTTCATGGACTTCTTTGAGACCTGGCTGGTATTCGAGGACACGGTTCTCACGGAAACTCCGTACTTATTGTGTAGCGTTAAGGACATATCTTCAGTACAAGTGTGAGGCGAATCCGGTATTGGATTTCCACGGTCTTCTATTGGTCTGCCGCAACGGTCGCAGAGAAGGTCTTCCGAATCGCACTTCTCGGTTACTTTCAATTTCAATTTCCTCGAAGTCTCTTTAATTGTGGTAGATGTATATGGTCTAAAACAAATAGTATGATATAACTTTAACACTTCTTAAGTAAACGACGTTGACTTTCGACGAAAAGCACGGTATGTTACGGTTTCATTTAATACACCGAATCGTGTGTGAACATATTTTTCTTTAACGTTCGGAACGTATGCGATACAACCGAACTGGATTAGTTTCATTTTTAAACAATTATTACCTTGCCCCTTATAACACGATTAATATTTCTTTAACCTGGACAGTTAATTAGTAGCCCGCCGAATAAAAAACCACGACACAACCTTATAAAATGTTAACAGCACATAAACCGTCAATATAAAACCGCTCATCTAGATTTCCAACATAATATCTAAAATTGAGAAACTCACGATTTTTTCACGTGACGAGTTTCCCCTGTCTTGCGATTCATTTCTTGAGTTTCCCGGGACTGTTCCTCGTACAATTCAAGCGATGACGGAGAAAAACTGCAGTTAAATTATTACATATATTGTATTAAAAAAAGGAACAATTATACGTGTGGTAGAAAAAAAAAAATTGTACATTCGCAAAAGTCCAGATCCCATTAAAATGCAGACCCACCACTGAAGAAATCTTTCCGTCACCACCTAGCTTTTCGTCTCTTCGACTAGTTCGCTGTCTCTTTTCATCTATAAGCAACTTCCCCGATTCAACAAACCGACTTTTACCTAATATCCCCCGCGGTGCCGGAGCTGATGGTAACAACCGAGCGAACAGTCTTCGTCCCGTACCCGCTTTCTACGGTGCTCTGCAAGGAATGCGTGCTGGATCCTCGGGACTCATATTTCCCCTGCGACTGCACGCTCACGTCGGAGAACGTGGCTTCGGGTGCATCCTGTTCGTTGAATTTTCTGCAAGCTCGACGCTTTCGCCCGAAGCTGCCGTTCGAGGCGGTCAGCTTCAACTTCAGCCTCCTCTTCAGGCCGAGTTCCTTCGACCGAGATCTGCCCGATGGGCAGTCCTCTTCATCTCGCGACTGCAAGCTCGCGTCGGATCGCGCAGCTTCCAAGCAGCGCTCCGTATCTCTCTGCTCGGGGCACTTCCCTGAAGTTTGGCGTTTCCTCCGCGAGTTCAG